ACTCAATAATGGATTATAAATTTTGAAAAACTAGTTAGCAATTTTTTTTTCTTTTTTGAAGAGAAGGATTAAAAAACAAAAAAAAGGCATCCCAAGCCAGGCCTAATGAGACTTTTTGTGCTAGGCCTTATTTGTCAATAGGGGTTTTAAATTTTCTAAAAAATAAAACAAAGGTTGGGCTGGGCAATGCCCAATAGGCTTAACGTACCGGGCCATAAATGGCTCGTAAATTACCGTATTTACGGGCCAGGACCATAAATGTGGTAATTTATGGGCCAAGGCCATAAATAGGGTAATTTATGGGGCAGGACCACAAATGCCATAATTTACGGGCCAGGCCATAAATAAGGTAATTTACAGGGGAGGCCATAAATAGGTATATTTACGCTCTAGAACCTTAAATGGGGGTTATTTACCAGCCAGGGACTTAAATGGGGTCATTTACCCGCCAGGGCCATAAATGGGGTCTATTTAAGAGCCAAGGCCATAAATGGGGTCTATTTAAGAGCCACGGCCTTAAATGAGTCTATTTACAAGCCAGGGCCTTAAATGGGTCTATTTACGAGCCAGGGCCTGGTCTATTTACGAGCTAGGGCCATAAATGGGGTTATTTACCAACCAGGGCCTTAAATGGGGTAATTTACAAGCCAAGCCATAAATTGGATCTATTTACTAGCCAAGCCTTGAATGAGGTAATTTACAGGCCAGGGCCATAAATTGGACTATTTACGAGCCAGGCCATAAATAGGACTATTTACCAGCCAGGGCGGTAAATAGGACTATTTACGAGCCAAGCCATAAATAAGACTATTTACGAGCCAGGGCCATAAATGGGGATTATTTACTAGCCAAGGCCAAAAAGGAGACTATTTACAAGCCAAGGAAACTATTTACGAGCCAGGGCTAAAAAAGAGAGGGCCTAAATGGGGTAATTTAAGGGCCAGGGCCTAAATGGGTAATTTATGGGCCCGGACCAAAAGTAGGGTAATTTAGAAGCCAAGCCCATAAATCAATCTATTTACTAGCCAAGACATAAATGGTGATTATTTACAAGCCAGGGCAAAAAAGGAGACTATTTAGGAGCCAAGGAGACTATTTACGAGCCAGGGCTAATAAGAGACTATTTACAAGCCAAGCCATAAATGGGTCCATTTATGAGCCAAGGCCTTAAATTGGTCTACCTACAAGCCAAGGCCTAAATGGGTAATTTACGGGCCAGGGCCTAAATGGGTAATTTACGGGCCAAGACCACAAAGTGGGGTAATTTAGAAGCCAAGCCCATAAATGGGTCTATTTACAAGCCAGGCCATAAATAGGGTAATTTTACGAGCCAAGGCCATAAATGGAATTTACGAGCCAGGGCCATAAATGGGTCTATTTACGAGCTAGGCTATAGAGTGTGAGCTAGGGATATATAGGCCCTATTTATGAGCTAGTATCGTGATTATTTTAAATATTTATTCTCAAATATCATCAACATCATTAATATTAGTATTATCTTAATATTAATATCATATTATATTAATTACTTTTTAATATTATATTAATATATTAATACTATGAAAATGATATTCTACTATGGGTGCGGTTTGTATAGAGCCTTGGCAAATCAAATTAGAGCCTACCTTCATATAGTGGCGAGATATGTGGTTTCAATACCGAAAATCATTGTGAGACTTAAAATATATTTTCATCTTTATTTATGAAGTTTAAAGCTTCAAAAATAGTGTAGATTGATAGATACTATGAAAATTTGAAAATTGACTGTCCAAAAATGCATTACAAAATATAATATTGTCAAAACTTAAAATCCATTTTTTTCTCATGTCCATGCTTCTTGATGTCAAGATGATCAATTTGGGGCATCAAAACAACTTCTTCTAGTGAAATTTTTGAGGTAAGCTCTAATTTGATTGTTTAGAGCCTCGGCTCTATATAAACTTTTCCCTTCTACTATATAATTATGATATTATTATAATATTTATAAGAGTTATTATTAGAATTATATTATTATTAAATATTTATAATGAAATATCACCAAAATATTATCCTATTAAATTTTTTTTTTACGATTAAAATGATATTCTATTATTATATCATTGTGATATTTAATAATATAATTGTAACATTTATAAAAATTACTATTATAATTATGAGAAATGATCCTATAGGACCCTCCCCCACTCGTATAGGACCCCAAAAGATCACCATTAAATTTAACACGGATCTATAGAAAAGTCAAGTCCCACATCCATGTGATAACTTTTATAGAGATCCGTGACAACTTTAATGGTGATCCTTTGGGATCCTACACACATTGGTGGAAAAGGGTCCTATAGGATCATTACTCTTATATTATTACTAATAAATATTTATTCTAAAATGTCACCAAAATCATTAATATCAGCATTATTATACTATATTATAATAACATTATAATATAACAACAACATAAGATATAATTATAATTTTATTATATTATTTATTAATATTATAATAGTACATTAATACAAGGTACAGCAAGATATGGGGAACAACAATAGATAGAAAAAGTGAATAAAAATCTAGTTTAGAAAGGGAGAGCCATGAGTAATTTATAAAGAGAGAAGTTGCCTTTTTCATTTTTGGATATTGACCACCATATGCACTAGTTATCATAACTGCACATTGAGGAATTGTGACTCTTTGTTTCATGACTTGCACAACATTTAGTGGCTCATCAGTTAGGCTTTATCGTGTATCTGGATACCCATCAGCCATAACCTTCACGTACAACAAGAACATCATCTCCTGGGATGTTGCCATTCTATGATACATGGTGAGTGTCGCTAATTAGTGACTTTGTTGCACGTGATGTGATCCAAAAACAAATTCGCTGCAACTCGACGATGGACTAGCGACATGATCTGACTAGGTTAGTGACATGTAACACAGACGGTGATTTTCATCGAAACAAACAGTCCTTTAACTCCATTACCAAAAAAAAAAGAAGCGATTTGTTAGCCCCACCCACAACGTTGCACTAGGGAGTCTACACATACACATGTGCATGTCGCATACTTCAAGTGCTCCACATGGACATTCTCTCCCCTTAGTTCTTAGAATACAATAGAAATGCGTATTCCCGCATTGAAGCATTACTTATACTCATTCATTCTTCAATGTGGGACTAAACCCCACTACTTCTATCTCTACCATAATACAATGTTTCACTTCCCATAGACTAAGATTTGGTAGGATACTTGGTGCTTTAGTATTTACCACTATAACCACTTCTAAGTGACTAAAGATGATACCTGGTGAAGTCTCTATAACAGTAAACGCACTGCCAATGTTGTCATCGCTAGTCACAATTGAGTGGTGGTAGTTTTCTCGCTCTAATCTCTATGCTCGAGGGCCAACCGAATAAGTAGTGCTAGCAGGCTCACCAAGAGAGATGGCTAGAACAACTTGGGCCATGTCAGTAAAGCTGTGATGTAGGGAAATTTGAGAGAGTAGTAAAATCAGCAAGAAAACATGCCAAACGCAATAACTAAGAGAAACTTAAGATTTCCTCTTCACCCCAACTTAGGGTTCCAATAGTCTAAACTTTCATTTTCTTTCTCAATTCTAAAAATCACGTGGAACCACACACCTCTTAATTAATAATATTTAATGCTCAAAGAAATTAAATATCCATACAATAATTTAAATGACCCAAAACTCCTAAATTAAACAAAAACTTCATAGTAACAAATTTACCCATGTGTACAGTAAACTATGAATATTACTAGTACCTATGAATAGTACATACAAAGTATATAAGAATAGCTAGAATCCTTAAAAAACTTTAAAACCCTAAAAAATAGACCCTAAATCTAAATTAAAATAAAGAAATAAAATTAAATAAATATTAAAAATAAGAATAAATTTTCCTTCCATCATTCTCCTTTGGCTGAAAAAAACTCGTCTTCAAGTTTAAGTCTACTCTGGTACCACTTAATGTAGGGAAATTTGATAAAATGGTAAAATTAGGAAATATGCCAAATACAAGCAATAATTACCTCAAGTTGGGGTTTCAAAAGCCTAAGCTTTTCTTTCCTTTTTTTATTCTAAAAATCACGTGGAATTGACCCCACTAGGACCCACACGTCTCCTAAATAATAATATTTAATTTTCAAGCACATTAAATGTCTATGTAATAATTAAAATGACCCAAAGAGTCTCAACTTAAACACAAAATTCATAATAACCATTTTACTCCTATGAAAAGTAACCTTGAATAACAAATATAAAACAAAAAAATACCTTAGAATCCTAAAAAGACTTAAAAAACCCAAAAAAAACTAAAGAGAAATTGAAATATACATACTTTAAAATTAAACAAATACTAAAAATAATAATTATTTTTCCATCCATTACATTCCCTCAAGAATGTGACCATCTTACTCATTCTCCAAGTGGTAAGGAGATTTTGGTCTTGATTACCCGTGGTTTCCCTCCGCATCTTGGTTGGTGTCCAACACCTCTTTGATTGTGGCCAACAAAATTTCAGTTAAACCTGAATAAGACTTTGAGATTTTCGAGCTTATAGTCACTCTTGGTTTCTCAAGCCCTTTAACCTTGGTCCAAGTGGATAGGTTCATTTTAATTGGAATTTTCTTTAATGGATTTGTACCCTCTATCGGACTCAACAAAAGCGTACGGCAAGGGAGGTGGTATCAGAGGAAAGTCCATCGGGTCCTTATCATGATGAGGGCCAAGGGAGCTCTCTAAGCTAGAAGAAGAACCATCAATTAATGAAAATAACAAGGTAAAAAGAGACCTGAGTTGCAAGCTTGAAATGCTTAAGACAGCTATGAGCTCTAAGCTTATTTATAGACAACAAGTATACCATATAACTACCCATAAATCTAATCTTGAACATGCAAAGACAACACAACTCAGTTAACATAACTGACATAGTTTTGCTGCCAAAAAAACAAAAACGAAAACTTCACATTAAGAATAAGGCATATATGTTGAGCTTCACAAAGACCAAATTCAAAGGAAATAGAGTCACAAGAGCAAAATCAATGGAGTATAAAAAAAAAAAAAGAAGAAAAAGAAAAAGATTAAAGTCAAATCAAAAAGTTGAAAGGAGAGTTAGGCTCCGAGCCTTGAAGTGTAAGCGAGAATCTCCTATAGGTGTCGAGTTCACCCAAAGGATCTAATGCCCCACAAGAACATCAGCACCTTAGATTTCAATCACGCAGGTTCTCGCAAGGTCTATGTCTGGAGTTCAAATTCTTCTCATTTCCTCTTCAACTCCAACTTCAACTTCTTCATACTCTTCTCCTCGTGCCTTAGTGTACGTTGAATGAAGTCTATCTGATGGCATAGAATGTTCATGGAATTGCATTTCCCTAACAATGACGAACCATTAGACCAAGGAGTTGCAATCCCCTAACAATGACGAACCATTAGACCAAGCACCACCATATTCCGAAGATGACCCAGAACTGGAGGATTCCTCCTCTTTCCGGACCTTGATGTAGAAGGATCTGCTGGATCTGGAGGAATAAGGACGTCTCCCTCAACCAAAACCATTTTCTTGTTTAAAGGAAAAGGAAATTGAAGAAAGAGAAAACTCAAAGAAAGTTTAAAAAAAATCAAAATAGAAGAAGAAACATGCCCATACCTCAGTGGCCCACAGCCTTTTATGGGCAACATTTAAGAATGGTGAAGAGGTGAAGCCGAAGTGGTGCAGAACTTCCCGAAAGACAGGCCTTTTCCAAGAAAAATACCTCGGGCACCCAAAAGTTGTTGCAGCAAACCCCATCTCGAAGGCGACCAATGGCATCCTTGGACGAATAATCCTCTCTTTTTCAAATAAAAAAAAAAAGAGAAGAGCTAGAGGAAAGGAAAATATGACTTATTCAACTTATATATATTTGAATACAAGTGGTTGTTCTTACATCCATAACATTTCCATTAATAAATTCCATATGGCACTTAGCCAAAAAAACATTATAAAAAAACATTATGGTTGCATATGAAATTTATTAATGAAAATGTTACTACGTCCAACCACTTGGATTCAAATATATAAGTTGAATAAATAATATTTTCTTTTTCCTCTCTCTTCTCTTTTCTTTTCTTTTTATTTGAAAAAGAAAAGAAACGATGCACATTACTGCCTTCCACATCAATCTTCAACACAATTGCTTAGGATCCCTAATGTGCAACTTATCCTACTTTAGTGATTGTTATCCTACCCCAAGAAAGGTGATGATGGAAGTAATAGATGTGAAAGAGAAGATGCACATCAGTGCCTTCCATCCTCTGTCTCAAGAGCAATAAAGAAACCCATCCTGTTGGGAATCAGTATACCCCCTCTTGCTACATGTACTGAAGGAGATGAGACAGTCTATTCTCCTATCGAGATGTGATAGACCATTGGCCATTGGCTCTCATAAGGAGGATATCCTCCAAGAAGCCCCTACAAAGATCATCATCATATATGAATGAAACAGGACGGAGGATGGATCATGAGGAAGTCCATCCATGCCCTAGGATGCCCCATGATATGAGAGATGCAGTTGGATGCCCTAGAAGCCCATAGAGTAGAACGCTAAAGAGACACAGGTCATTATATGACCTCAAAGTTACACAATGAAAAGGAATCCTATGAAGCCTTCCAACCACATTTGTTACCACCTTAAAATGTCTTACCCACCTGGTAACCTTTCTAAAGAGCAGTTGGTGACTGAACTAGAGAGTCTAATACCCACCCTGAAGATGATGCACCCATTGCTATAGTAACAAGAAAGTTATTTGCATGATTGCTATAAACCCCTATTTATACCTCTCAAGAGGAGATGCGCTTGAATTGCCAGCTAACAATAGCCGTCTCCTCAACGCCCAAGGATATAAGGGTCAATCTTTCAAATCCCTTTTGGGATCCACCAGCAAAGTTCTGCTAATTTGCATAATCTCAAGCCTTTTACTATAATGAATTCTAAGTTCTTGATCTTCAATCACAATGAAGATGAACCATAGCTAAGCTACATGACTCCATTGTCAAACATTGGCTCTATACCACATCATCTTCAGATCTGACGGTCCAGATTCAAATTCAATATGTGAGGGAAACCTCAAATATCACGTACTATCCTCTGATTAAATCCCGCAAATACCAGGATAAATCAAGGGATTTTTCATTCCTCAAATGAGTTATGTCTTTGGTATGGAATGCATAACGGTTACAGTGCTAAAATAATGCATGGTTAGTCTTCAATTGTGCAAGCATTAATATAACCTCATGGTTCTCATAAACCTTGAAATTGCCAAATTGGTGAGCCTTTTTACCAAATATATGCATGATTCACATAAGCCTTGAGATTTGTGAGCCTTTTTACCAAATATCCACATTTTCATAAGTCCACTATTGACAATTACCCATTTTTGCTACTTAAATTGAAATTTACCTAATATAGGTATCATGAGGCCAAATGCTATGTTGCATGTTTCAGATGAATAATTATAAATCCTTTAAGAACATTAATTCCTTTGCATAAAAGTAAAAATGATGCACAACATGCTATAAATGATTTATTGGAAGGGTAAGTTGAAAATAACTTCTTCTCGGACTTAAAAATCACTTCTACCAGAAGGATAGAAACTAAAATATCCTTCATTTTTTATATATAAACCTTAATCCCATATGGATAAGGGTCACATTCCTGATTAAAAGTGCTTGAGTCTTCTAATGACCCTACTCAACCCATTGGAAGATGTGGCACCAAGAAGGGCAATAATGTTGCACATGTTTTAACCACGATCTCTATAGAGCATGGAGGTCAATCCACCATGCTACCCTCTACTCCACTACACCGCCACTACCAGGCACTTTGATAAACCACCTACTAGGAGTACCCCATCATCTATAAAAGCCAAAAAACACATGCACAAGACAATAGGGGAGAGAGAAAAAAATGGTAACAGCGATATACAGAAACAATCAAGAAGATGGTAGAATACCCTTTATATGTGAAGGAGGTATACTGTAATTTTCTTTGTTTCTTCCTAGTTGAGCCGCTTATAACCGATTGAACAAAGGCATTTTAACCCTCAATTGTTAGAGGAAGTGAATTTAATTAATGAGTTGTCTACAGGTGCCTTGGGATTGATTTAGATAGAAATAAAAAAAGCTTTGTTTAGCTATATCCTTCCTATCAGAGTGTTATCTGTGTTTTTCTTGAATTGTTTACAGGTTTCCTTACGTCCACTTAAGAACTCCCCCAAAGAAATGCTAATGTATTCTATGCACTTATTTTAATTGAAGTTTATTTGCCTCTTTTGTTGTAATTTTGCTTTATCCATTATATTTGGGGTCACAAACATTCACATGCACAATAAAGGGTGAGCAATGTTCTAACACTTTCATATTTTCATGCATCCTCAAAGAATATAATTTACTTTCAAAGAAAATCCCATATATGAGGGAAGGGACTTTGTCTAAGACAATTTTTCTAGCTTTGCAAATGCTATCTTTTCTCCTATGGCATTAGAGAGTATTTCATCTATTAAAACACAAGCAAATGGTGGCAAGCACCTTCTTATCTGATTCTTCTCAATCATCATCCTTCATACCCTGAGGTTTCTTAGATAATCCTTGTAGGGCGTCATATTAACCTTGTTGCACCAATGTATCCTGAACTTTAATTTCCATAATTCAAATTCTTTCACCCCCATCAAACTAATCTACTTCATACTACTCATTTTCTTAAATCACTACGCATTACCATTGAGCTTTGTTACCGCTCATTGAGAATCGAGAATCTTCTCAATTGCCCCATATTGTAGTGAACCCCCAAATGCAAAAAATATTTAATGCCTCAAAGCAAACTCGTTGGTCACCAGCGAATCAATTTCAAGAAACCCAAACACCCAAGAACAGTATTTAGCATATAAAATTTGGAAAAATAAAAGAAAATCAAGAGAAGAAAAATGAGAAATCAAAAACTACAACAACACACTACAAACAACAATCGAAAAACCATCAATACACAAATATATGTGGTTTAGCCTAATAAAGCTACAGTCATAAGCAACTGATAACGAAATGATTTCATTATCATGAAAAATTACAAGATTGAGTAAATACAAGGTTTACCTCCCCATCAGCAAAGAACTACCAATTTTGTTTTCTACTACCATAAAAGGTTCATCAAACCAACCTCCATCGTAGCTGCCTATAATGGGAAATACCGATGAAATCACTCAAAATAGGGGCCAATGGTAGCTAGGGTTTTACGTAAAATCCTCATTCTCAACTTCCACATGAGCCCTACCTCCCAAGCACACCCCTTTCGACAAAATTATTTATAAATGCCCCACCTAAAGTGGCATTCATAATGGCAAGAAAAGCCCTTAACAATGAGATAAATCAATCGAGCGTAATTTTGTCCTCCCTTAATAGTTAAATCATCATTAGGTTCGCTTGGTTTCTCTTAATTGATTACATACCACCATTCCACATTGTGCAGCAAGAAAAATAATCTAATTGTTCATACAGAAAAATTAGATCCATTAATCTTTCCAATTTTTACCAATTCCAAAAATATGCTCCCTATAGTAGCCATTTAACCTAGGTTCTCGTACCAAATAGTAGATCAATTTTTAAAACGGCCACTGATATGGACTAATGCAAATAAGATTTGCATCAATACCTCTCTTTAAACTCTATTGAAAGTATTATCAAACACTTCTCATATTTAAAATCATAAATATCATAAGCATATACTTACAACTAAGTGCTCATTGAAACTAAGAATCAATGTCCAATCAATCACCTTCCATTTTATATTGCACCCTAATCATAAATCATACCAAAAGTAGGTAAATGTGGTGTATGGAACAAACTCACCAAGATGCTCCAATTAGGGCTTGTAAAGAATGGAAAAAACATACTTTAGAGAACTAATACCTTGCTAATATTCTCCTGGATTGTTTTGAACATATATAAATTAGTAACAGCATAGAGAGAGAGTGAGAATGAGAATGAGATGGCTTCAAAATAGATCACTAAGGAGTAGCATGCGAAACTATGGATTCACCTTCGAATTCAAGTTACCTCTAAATGCGTAGTGGAAAGGAGAAGGGACAAGGATGTTAGAAGAGAATGAAAAGTGCACCGTACTAAATTTAAATTTCCCAAACCCTACCTCAAAGTATATAGGTCCCTTTGGTTCAATGGTCAGCAAGAAATGTGCAGGGAAGTTTTAAAAAACATGGACCGGGAGATAACACATAAAATGAGGATGGTTCAATCGTTTCCAAAATGATAATAATTAACAAATTTTAAAAAATAGTCCACAAAGAATGGAGAAAACCCATGCTCAGGTGTGAACTGAGGTGTTGGTGACTTTGTGGATCTGAACCAATTTAAATTGAAAAACGATAAAAGTTTCTCAAAATTCAAATAATTCATTTTCGCAAGATGATGTAATAAAAATGTACCTACAAACATGGATCCAAGGTATTGCATAATTTTGAGGATCATAGTTTGTAACTTCAAATAATCATATGCTTGAAGCTCTCACTATCGGTTGAAATATTTAAGAAGGTGCTTTTAAAGCCTTCTAAGGGCTAGTCCTTAGGACTTACAAAGGAAACTTCGATACTACAAAAATGGGCACTTTCATGCTCAGGGAGCGTTTAGCAATAGGAAGATGGAGTTAGAATAGAAAGTATCCAATTCTAAAATATGAAAGATAAAAATTTGTTAAGTATTTGGAAATAGAAAATGTTGTGTTACATATAAAAAAAAAAAGAGAGACTTTTTTTATGAGTTCAGAGCATATCTGAATATTTTGATTTATCTTTAATACAGACATCGGATTTAAATAAAATATTAGGGATCTATACTTGTCACCATCACACACCAGTAAAAATATAAACACATAATTTGAACAAAATAGATGATTGTAATACCCTCATGGTTGGCTGATAGCACATCTAAGTATTTCAATTTTATTTTCTTCTATACAGCAGTCTTAGCTAAAAGTTTGGGCATCTGTGCCTAACACTCTCACACAATTGTAAAAAAAATTTAAAAATATTTAGGAAAAAATGTAATGACTGAAAAGTAACCCCTAAAACTCCACATTATACTTCTATAAATCGGATGTGTAGAGCATGTATGAGTATATTTCAATTTTAATTACACTTCTATACATCGGATTGTGTATTTAGAGAGAAAATAAAAAAGGATGTGTGTTTAGAGAGAGAAAAAGATGGGAAGTTTGATAGGAGGATTAACCTCTTTCGTTTTTTCTTTTCCTTTTTCTTTTTTTTGTTTTTACATAGAGGACTTAGTTTTTATTCATTTGTAAATGGTAATCATACATCGATTAGAACAAACCATCATAAACTCTCAAGGAATCCAAAAGGACCATCTTCTTCGCTAGATCTACAACTATCTCATTGGCCTCTCTATTAATATGTTGAAGATTAAGCACCAATGGAGATAACAGGTCCATCACCTTGAACCAGATACATCTTAACCACAAAGGTGACTTAGATATAAAAGAGCATCAATTAATAATGTTGAGAGATTCTCCTTCAATGAGAAGAGAGATTCCCAAACCTCTGTCCATCCAAATTAAAAGGCCTTGAAGCAAGGCAAACAATTCGGCATGGTTAGTCAACATTGTCCCACATGGACATGCATAACAGAAAACAACTGTACAAATCGAATACCTACACACACCTCTCACTCCCACCTACCCTAGATTACCATCAAAATTAAGTTTAAAACACCCTACCCTACCCATGGTGGCTGCCAACTAGATGTAAGTCTAGCTTTCATGGCTATGTAAGATGTGATACTAGCCAAATTGAGGACATTGTCCACCTTTGAAACCCCGTATCTCACTAACCAAGTTAAGGACAATGTCCATCTCCGAGGATTAACTAACCTCACAAAAATGTCTCTCTCGCAACTACCATAACAAATAAATTTCTTGTTTTCTTCTAAACATCCCCCTCCCCGTCTTATATAAGGATCCCCCAACCCCTCCTTTGTTCACCACAAATTTATTCTCAACCCTCTCTACTCACTCTCTCTAGCCATTGTCTCTCCTTCCTCTTTCTCTCTCCTCTCTTTAGCCATGGCATCTAACAACAGTTCCTTTTTAGCAATGCTTGTTGTTCTAAAGTTGCTCGATGACAATGCTTGCCTGGCGGCTCGCCGCCTATTACACACGTCACCCCCTGTAGCCCTGCCCACCATCGTTCTTTCTTGAAACCCACATTGCCACCACTGCCCTCAACAATCCCAACGATCCTTGCTATCCCACAAATTCCAAAGACCGGCGACGCTCCCTCCATTGCCATCTTCCCTGCCAAAAATCCCAATGACCCAAGCATCGTTGGGATTTTTGGCAGGGAAGATGGCAATGGAGGAAGCGTCGTCGAGCTTTGGAATTGATCGTTGGAACTGTTGGGATTGTTGAGGGCAGTGGTGGCAATGTGGGTTTCAGGAGAGAAGGGTTGGTGGACAAGGCTGGAGGGGGTGGTGTGTGTAATAAGTGGCGAGCCGCTAGGCAAGCATTGTCATCGAGCAACGATAGGACAACGAGCATTGTTAAAAGGGAACTCTTGTTAGCAGCCATGGCTGAAGAGAGGAAAAAGAAGGGCTAGAGAGAGAAAGAGGAAGGAGAGACAAGGGCTAGAGAGAGTGAGTAGACAGGGTTGAGATGAAATTTGCGGTGAACATAGGAGGGGTTGGGGGATCCTTATATAAGAGGGGGAGGGAGATGTTTAGAAGAGAACAAGAAATGTATTGGTTATGGTGGTTGTGGGTGAGATATTTTTTGTGAGGTTAGTTAATCCTCAGATGTGGTTATTGTCCTTAATTTGGTAAGTGAGACACGGGGTTTCAAAGGTGGACATTGTCCTTAATTTGATAAGTATCATATCTTACATAGTAATGAAAGTTAGACTTAAATCTAGTTGGCAGCCACTACAGGTAGGGTGTTTTAAACTTAATTTTGATGGTACTCCAAGGTAGGTGGGAGTAAGAGGTGTGTGTAAGGGATTCTATGGGTGCAATTGTTTCATGTTAAGCGGGTCCATGTAGGACAATATCAGCTAACCATGCCAAATTGTTTGCCTTGCTTCGAGGCCTTTCAATTGGAGGGACAAAGCTATGGGAAATTCACTTCTCATTGAAGGGGAATCTCTCAACATCATTAATTGGCGCTCCTTTATATCCTAGTTGCCTTTGCGGTTAAGATCTATCTGGTTAAAGGTGATGGACCTATTATCTCTGTTGGTGGTAACAAATTTATAGAGAGGCCTATGGGATAGTTGATGATCTAGCAAAGAAGAGGGTCCTTGTGGATTCTTTGAGAGTTTCTGATGGTTTGTTCTAATCGATGTATGCCAACTGTTTACAAATGAATAAAGTGTTAGTCCTCTCTGTTAAAAAAAATAAAAAATAAAAATAAAAAGAAAGAAAGAGGTTAATCCTCCCACAAACTTCCCATCTTTTTCTCTCTCTAAACAGGTATCCTTTTCTATTTTTTCTCTCTATATATGTAATCCTATGTATAGAAGTATAATTGAAATTGAAATACTCATACATGCTCTGGACCATCCGATGTATAGAAGTATAATGTGGAGTTTTAAAGGTTACTTTTTCAGTTATTACATTCTTTTCTAAATATTTTTAAATCTTTTTTACAATTGTGCGAGAGTGTGAAGCACAGATGCCCAAACTTTTAGCTAAGACCGAAGTATAGAAGAAAATAAAATTGAAATACTTAGACGTGCTATCAGCTACCCATGAGGGTATTACAATCATCTATTTTGTTCAAATTATTTGTTTATATTTTTACTGGTGTGTGATGGTGATAAGTATAGACCCCTAAAAGTTTATCTGCATCCGATGTCCAAATATATGAAAATATTCAATCTGCTCCCAACTCATAAAAAAAGTTCTCTTTTTTATTTTTATCCATCTGACAGTCTATTTTTTAAGCTCATCAATGATAAGCTATGATTTCGAATTGTCATTCGTTATACAATTATCATCATCCCATGTACACAAACTTCAATGAATTGTTCAAATTGGTTAATTCAAAGTTTTCTTGATTTACAAAATTTCAACTTAAAAACCTAACACAATCTTTCAGAATATCCGGAACTCCAAACAATCCAACCAAACACAACATTTTCTATTTCCAAATACTTAACAAATTGTTATCTTTCATATTTTAGAAATGGATACTTTCTATTCTAACTCCATCCTCCGATTGCTAAACGCTCCCTGAGCATTAAAGTGCCATTTTTGTAGTATTGAAGTTTCCTTTGTAAG